GTGTAACTTAGCGTACTAAAAATAATATCCAATAAAATATAAATAAAATATAACCAATAAGAATATAAGATTTTAACGGCACATGACTTTATGATTTAGTGAAAATCTAAATCATAACAGTATATACAGTTTATTAAAAGAATAGAGTTATAGATTTTGTTAAGTATAATTAATTTAGAATATGCAAAAAGAAATAAGTTAAATGATTATTTTGATTATATTGATAGTTATTTTCAAAGTTTTTTTCTTTAAACTCATCAAGAAGAGTTTAAATTAATGTGTAATTCTAAAGGATAATATATTAAATCTTGTTTTAAGCATTATAAATGATTTTTGAGATTGTCATGAGATTTAAATTGCTTTGATAAAGAGTTAAAAGTATTTCTTAAGGACAAATATTTACTGTATATATTTATTAAACTTTTTATTATTTAGTTAATAACTTGACTGATAATTTGATATTGTTGTATAATAGAATTTTACATTAATTATTAGTTAAAACTATTATTTAATTTTATTAAATAATTTTGAAAATATATATTTATATTTTAATTAGTTAAAATCTTTATATTTATATTTTGTATTACATTATTTATATTATTATTTACAAATATTATATAGATTATTTATTTAAGTTATATTAGATAATTTATATTTATATTAAATTACAAGACAAATAAATAAGCAAGTGATCAAGTGAGCAAATAAGTAATTTTTTTGTAAATATTATTGATAGTTTTGATTTAATAATTTTATATAAAAGAAATATGTATTTTAGCTTAAAAAAATCAGCCAATTAATTAATCAGTTAAGTTTTAAATATTAATAACTCAAAAATAAATTCTTTTGATAATAATATTATTTTGAAATTAACATATTTAAAATATTAAAATATTTCTTTTATTATTTCATTTAAATTTTAAAGTTTTATATTAGTTTTGTTATAATTTTTTATATATTTGTGATATTATATTAATAATTTTAACATATTTATAACATTATATTAATGATCTCTTACATATTTGTAATATTATATTTATAATTTGATCTCTCACATGTTTGTGATGTTATATTTTTAAATAATTTAATAAATTAAATTTATAATATTTTACTTGTCTATAAATTATTGTCATAATTATTATATTTTATATATATATATATATATTAAATTATAAAAAGATTTCTTAAATCACTTTTTAGCTAATTATTATTTAATAAATATATATTATTATTTTTAGTTATTTATATAATTTCTCTCATCTAACTTGAAATATGTATTGAGCATATAGAAAGATATAATATATTTAAAATTCAAATAAAATAATGACAATATATCTTTTAATATTTCATAATTGTAATTAATATTCTTTATTATTAAATATTATTAATTATTTTTTTATTATAAAATTTAAAAGAACAATTTATTAATCATGAACTTGTGATTTTCTGATGAGTTTGATTTATAAGATTCAAAGTATTTCTATAAGTATTACCTTTATCATAGTACAAATAGATAAATTTTTCTCATTTGGATCTTTTAATACATATTGCATAATTATGATTAAAGACATGTATTTGAACATGTTAAATAAGAATTTTGCAACTTGCAAAATAACTAGTTTGAGATGGGAGTGAAGACATGAATTTCAAAAATCTAGATTTGTAGTTTTATGATTATTTTTGAAATGAAAATTTTCTTATTTATAAATTGTAACCAGCTAGTACTTGTATTTATTAATCATTAAATTTTAAGTGTAATAGAAGTGAAAACTAAATTGAATTATTTATTATCAAAAAAAGATGTTTTTCAACAGTTTTAAAGATTTTATTGTGACAGTAATTATAGACAACTTTGATTGATTAATTTTGCTAGCTAGTAATACTTTAGTTAAGAGAATCAATTACTTTTGTGTGAAATATCTTGTTAATTTATTTATTATATAATCTATTTTATGTAATGTTTGGTTTTAACATATTTTTTTATTCTATTTGATCTTTAAACCAAATTAAATTAGAGTTATTATGATTATTAACAAATAATTAAATTTTTACAAAGTTTATTAGTATGCAAATAAGAATTTTCTTTTTATTATTTTTTTCTAATATATCAAGTATAATACTTGATCATTAATTCTATTTCATTTATATATATTATCCACTTCTATTTTCTTTAAGTTTTACTCTAATTACTTGTATTTATAAAATATTTAAACATTTTTAAATTACTTCTAGATATTTGATTGTTCCTCTTTGTTATTTGATCCTTCCAATTATTGCGAAACTTGCAGAGTATATTATTATTTGAAACAGAACTTTCACAGACTGATTGTTTCTTCACGTGATTTTGGTTCTTATTTTTTCTAATCACAACAATTATCTGAAACATTTCATACTAATTAAAGATTAGCATTAGAATTGGAGTAAAGTTATATGTAAAATTGTCTTTCCGTCATTTTTTATTAGTGCTTCAAGTTAGATTTAGACATTTGTTTCCCATATTTTTGTATTGTTTATTTTCTTGTGACATATTTATTTTGCCGAGTTGATCAAAAATTTGTGCATTCTCGTTGGTTTCGAGATCATCAGAGGTCGGTGAGCTGTAAGAGATTTATGAACAAATTCATCATGTGATTCTGATTTGATGTTTGTCAGCTATCAGATCGGATTCACATGACGAATATGTTTATAAATTCGACTTGTATGTGATCTATAGATCACGTGTTCACGTGACACATTAGCTACATGGTAATAATGTGTGGCGAATAGCAGTTCCCTATTATTATTGCTTTTATTAAATCTGGGACATCCGATCCCCTATTTTCCGATCCTGATGATTTATAGGCAAAATATTGAGCTATTTTTCAAAAATAAGCGTTTTTTTAATGTTTGCGTTGCACTTTGTAGTATTTCGGGCGAAACTGTTCCTCAAAATCCGAAACGTTTTCGTCTAGTGAACTTTCAGTTTCGTCCTATAAGTCCGAAACTATCCGAAACCCTAATTTGGAAGCACTTTGTAGAACAAATTGGGCGAAACTAGTTTCGCCCGAAACACTAACGCTTTAATCTTGTGATCTGGTTACAGATTCGTTTTTTGATACACCAAATGTTACTTATTTGATACATGACATACTCAGCATTTCCGTCTCGTTTAGTAGTATCCAATTTACTTAACTTCCATCGTAATACAAAGGATTAAACTAGAGTTATCTACCTAGTATATTCATTTCGAGTCACAGAAATTCTGGTATCGGAAAAAACGGGACCTAAATTAAGGGGTGTATCAAAAACGAAACTTAGCCGAGATTCAATTTATTATCATTATTATGAAGATCCATTTTTATTACTACATGTATACGATTTAGACCATATCCGGTTTAAACGAGTGTGGTTTTTTTAGGATTTGTAAATTGACAAATAGCGATAGATACCGATATGTGTGTTAATAAGCTTCAAATACGGGTTGTTCTCGTTAAACCGGTATGGAAGATTTTCATTGAAGCATTAAATTTTCTTACCTTTTTAGAATCCGTAATAAGACTTGGAGCCCAAAAAGTCAAGTTGTACTGATCTACACCGATATTATTTTCGGGCTATATAACCATAATAAACGATGCGTGACGTAAAATATTACACTTAAATCCGAAAGAGAGTATTCACAAAATAGATACGAGAAATGATAGAATCTTGAATAATAATGGATTATAGAAATTACAGAAACACAGAAGCAATTGCTATATTTGTTGTTGCAATGGTTGGAATAGGTTCTAGTCTCATCGGAAGTCACTTTGTTCTGTATCGAACTTTACTGAAGTGGAGAAAATGTTTAGAAAAATCTGTAACTCTCCCGATGAACTATCGTCTTCCTTTGTACACAGCACTTACCGGTAAGTTTCATCTATGTGTCAATAATTCACTATTGCAATTAGTAATTTTATACTTTTATTTTGCTAGACATTTTTATATCAACGCTTCATATCGCAAATTTTGTATGTATTCACGGGCCTAATAATGATATAATTTTTAAATTTACTGATTAATAAGGTTTATAGATGTATTTGATAATAAACCATAGAGTAATAAGAGATCCTGCGTGCCAAATTGTTGCTATTGCTCAAGATGTCAGTTATGGATATAACAAGTTTCTTTATATGATAATAGCGATAGCAACGTATCTTGAAGGTAATTGAGAAATAGAACTTTATGAACTTTCGCACGAGAACAAAATTAAAAAAAATCGGATTGTTTTTAACAGTCGCTCGTAGAATACCTGTAAATTTTGGCCCATATGACTATAGACTTTTTCTGATGATGAATGTGTTAACGTTTCTAAATGTTTTTCCAAAAGTCATGCTTACAAACTATGGACGACACAATTATTGGTAAGTATTTGCCAGGAATTTTTTAATCATTTCAATTTGATTATCACACATAATAATTTTATTATTAATCTTTGTAAAAGGTGTTCAGAAGACAGTATATTTGTGGGCATCCTTTCGGTATCGATCTCAGTTGGAATTCCAATAACGACCGCAATAATTTGTTTCATGTGTATTCGTTTCTCCTTAGCAAAAAGAAGCTTTGCTCGCCTTAATAACGCTGATTTAATAGGAGATCGCATGGTGAAAACTGAAGAAGAGATTATCATTAGAAAGGTTGCAAGTTATGTACTGGTTTTTGTGCTCCAATATGTATGTATGCGTTATGTTATCTTTCGATTTTTATTTAATACAAATATAAATAATGTTATTTTCCCGAAATCAAGATTCCGATGATTGTATTTACCATTTGGGTATGGTTTCATCAAAATCGTAAAACTCAAACATGGAGCTATGTCTTACTAATGATCGGTAAGAAATAAAGAAACTTTTTTATCTTCCAAAGTCTTTGATTAATTCTATATCAACACAGGATTTAGCTGTGGCGGAATTGGCAATGCTATAAACTTTGTTCTGAACGAACGACTAAAAACAACCGAAGTGAAAATATCAGATCCTGATTTTTCATTAGATATCCTTCACGCCGCCCACACATCCCCCATCAAAATTACTATTGGTCATCCTGCAAATACTTCTAATCTGCTGGAATTTAATCAAGATATAGCAGGATTTCCTACGAATTTACGATGACGAGAAAATGGGGGTTTTTTAATTTATATATAATTGATATTTATACAATCGAATAGGGTTAATATGTTAAGGCGTGGAGTTCATCTTCTCTGTTCTTAGTAGCTTATTCTCATTGGAAACTTTTTTTATTGTAAATTCCCCTGTTTTAGAGGATTTGGATGTATTTTAAAGCGCAAATCATGAGGCGAATCCAATCAACATTAACACGTGATTATTAATACATTATAATGGACAGAGTAAATACATACAGTAAGGGCGGTGACGGATATTACGTAATATCCTTGGGGGAGAGGGGAAGGGCACATGCTTCAAATATCTTATCTTGGGGGTGGACTCTATAGTAAACTTATATTACTTAATATATGTCACGGCCCTCGAAAAACTATGAAAATTTTCAGAAACTAATACAATATGGTGAAGTGTGCGATCTGTCGATAGCATAATTAGTGTGATCTTCCGAGTCATAATTTTATTGCTACTAATTAAATTAATTAGGCAGCATTCAAAAAAAATTAAATTTGATGGTTCAATCGATCCATTTATCGCTGCCCAACTTCATTCCGTTACCACTAAAAACAGCGTAATGACGCCAAATTACAATACAACAAAGAAAAACGGTTATGCCCGTTGATGCATTTCATCCGCGAGTTTAATTAAATCGATTACCATCAGGCAACTCTTTAGTTCTGATTAATACTTAAAATTAGAAACAATTCCGACAGCTATGTCGTACCTGAAAATTAACTCGCAAACCCCTTAATATTTTGATGTCAGTGTAATATTTCATATCAAATTACCATTTGTAAAGAATAAAGTTTACTAATACATAAGATTCTCCGTGTAATAATCTGCTTAATTTATAAAAAAACTATTAAAAAGTCGTGCACTACTAGAAATTATAATGTTCAATCAAAAAAACAGTTTTCTGCTTGAATCGTGTAAGGAAAGTGCTAGATTGGTGAAGTAGTATAAAAATCGCAAAAAAATCAAAGCTTCCCTATAATTTATCTAAATAGGAAAGCATGGAAATGATGATTTCGAAATTTCACAAACAAAATATATATTATAAAGTTTTGTTTGTTGTTTTACTCTTTTTGACATCTAGATCACATGTCCTCGCGATCATAAGCAATGACACTAATGAAACAGAGCAAAATCAAAATATTACAGTAGGAATGGTAACAGCAAAATGGGACAGCACAAATACAACAATAAAAGCGCCAGCAAATTTTAACTCGTCTAGATCAATAATCACATCCTCAGTCGGATCATTGGGAATAGTTTTTAATTTATTTGGTTGTATCTTTATTTTGACTCAAACATTTCTAAAATGGCGAATGTGTTGTCAAAAAGTGGTAGCTTTGCCAATGAGCTATCGTCTTCCTTTTTATACGGCACTTACCGGTTAGGATTATTAGATTTGAAACATTTCTAATTTCGATAATTTAATTGATTTTCATTTTTTTAATATGCATCAAAGATCTTTTTATTTTGTCAGTTCAGATTACAAGTTTAGTAAGTATAAATGTAAATATGAATTATATATTTCAGGCTCGAATCTTATTAATTTATTATTTTTAAAGCTAGATATAACAATACATAAAAAACTCCCAGCGAATCCTGGATGTGAACTTCTCGCAATAGCTCAGGATTTTAGTTATAGTTACAATAACTTTCTTTATATGATCATAGCAATATCTACATATCTCGAAGGTAGGATTTTTTTTTAAAATTTTTTTTTTACATATTTAAGATTTTAAGAGATTTTTTATATAAGTTGGTCGTAGGATTCCCGTGAATTTTGGTCGATATGACTATAAACTTTTTCTAATAATAAATGGATTAACAGTATCGTGTGTTTCACCAAAAATTATCGGTAGAACTTATGGACAACAATATGGTTGGTAAGTTATTCTACGTATTGCTATTAATTATATGTATACTATCTTATTTATATTAACGATGAACTTCGAATTAAAAGGTGTTCAGCAAACGGGACATTCATCAATGCGATCTTATCTTTTTTTTCAATGGGAATCCCAATATTGGTTACGACATTTTCTTGTATTGCTATTTGTATTCTTTTAGGGAAAAGAAATGATGATCGTTTTCGTGAAGCAGTTCTGACGCAAAATTGCATGATAAATTCAGATGATGAAATAATTATTAGAAAAGTTACAAGTTATCTTATCGTTTTTCTGCTTCAATGGGTATGTAATCTTATAAAGACGTGAAAATTCGGTATCTTCAGTCATTTATCGAGTTTTGTTTTATCCTTGCTTATTTCGTATCAATCATCTAATGTTGCTTTCAAAAAAGATTCCAATGGTTGTGCATATAATTTGTGTTGTTCTTAACGCAGTCGGTACATGGAACTTGGTATTACTCGTGTTAGGTAAGAAATCAAAAAGATATTCTAAATTTCAAGGTTTGTGGTTCTAATTCATGGATCAAAATAGGATTAAGCTGTGGCGGCATTGGCAATGCTTTAAACTTTATTCGGAACGAACGATTCAACAAAGAAGTGGTCATAACGGATTCTGCGCTTTCACCAGATACAAACAATCAACTTTATTATAATGCCCCTGCAATAATACATCAAGATACGACGGGATTGCCTGCAAATTTACGATAAAAGATCTCTCAGCCAAGAGTACATATATATAAAATGAAGTGTAATTTTACTAGCGTATAAATAGCAGGACTATTAAGCTCTTAACATGAGGATCCTTTTTTTTAAATATCAATTTTTATAGTGCAACTTAATTGTAGTAAAATAGCATAGCGGCCTCCTTTTTTTTAGAGAATATTTAGTAAATATTACTTAGATTGAAAAGTACCATCTTTTTAATATGACCATGGGACACATGTCAAGAAAAAACGAGTCTTGTGATTTACGTGTAATGCAGTTTAATTGGGCGCATTTTTCATTGACTCGTAATAATGTATTGCTCGGAGGAAAGTCACGTAATTTTGCTGAAAATATAACTTAAACTTTGGGACAAGTTACGTGATTTCAGTCTTTAAGTGTCCTAGTCTTTATGAATGAAATATACACTCCCTTACCAAAAGCATTGATTCTAGATTTCTGGAATTTAAATATTATTTTTGTCCGAAATGCACATCGAGATATTCTTTTTTGTAAAATTTTTGTATTCAGACCTTAAAAAGTATTCGAAACTCTATCATTATTTCTTTTGTTTGTGAAAATTGGCCGCAAATTTCAGGGAAATTCAAATAAAATTGCCAACATATTTCCGCAATTATAATTCAATTTCATAAACGCGAACTTTAGGGGTTATCGTTATCGTTAGTGAAACGATCTTCAATTTAGCGACTACGCGATTTAACGATATGTTAAACATGGATTACTAAGTGTTCCCGAACATGAGGTTTCTATACGGCATTTTATTAAGTATAAAAAACAAACCAAGCGGTTCTTTAACCATACGCTAATTCTTTAGATGATTTATTAGTTTATAAAGTGATTGCTCGTCATTCTAAACTCACGAAGCTCAGCTACAATCTTTATTAGAAAATCCTTTTATTATAATTTCAAATGTTTGTTATGTGTTTATAATATAGAAAATAGCTAAATAAGTATTTCTTAAAATGCTAATATCCAGTATATTCTCTTCTTTTCATTCCCTTTGTTTAATGGCTTCATTATCTTTTATATGTTTGCCATTGACATTTTCGGTGCTATGACTTAAAGGTGCGATTAACCGATAACTAAAATAGCCCACAGCTATAGTAGTTACCAGAATGAATGCAAGAAAAGTTAAAATGCAGATAACTGGCCAAAATATTATTACAGCTATTCCTGCACTAATTATTTCAGCTATAAACATTACAATCCCAGCGATTCCAAACACAAACACTGCCGTACCGATAATCCATCCACCTAAAATACAAATCGGAATTGAACTGAATGCTGCGAGAATGTAAGTGCAGAATCGTAATAGCCAATTTTGGTTCCAGATATCTTTTACTGAAGAGACAGGGCCTGCAGCTGCTTTTACTGTTCTTTCTTTTGCTACAGGAATTTCACTATCTTTTGGACATTGCAGATATGCAGCTAAATGTGGATGTGGTTCTGGTTTTGTGATTGATTCAATTGTTGAACGTGTAATTTCTTCGGTAGACTTTAATGGTGTGGTTACAAAATGCTCTTCAGACGTTGATTGAGGAGTTGAAACTCGAGATGAAATTGTCGTCTCTTTGGGTGTAGATTCTTTTATTGGAGAAGGGGGTACATCAACAACTTCAATTTGCTCCGGGATCTCTCGAATCGGACCAGGTGTGATGCTTGGAATCTGTTCTGCAGAGATAGCTTTAGGGATTTCTTTGGCAGCACCCGGTGTAACACTCGTTTTTTGTTGTGCTGGAGTGAGTGGACGAACTTCTGGTTCTTTTGTTACGTTTTCCAAAATTTCCAGTGATTCATCTCTTGATGTTGGTGTTGGAGGAATTGGAAAAGTGGGAACACTAACTTGCTTTTCGACAGGTGAAGGAGCTTGTGCAACAATTGGTTCTTCTGTGATTGTGATTGGGTGAGCTGTTGCTTCTTCATATTCTTCTGTGGTTGTGATCGGATGAAGGACTGTTGTTTCTTCAGGTTCTTCTGTGGTTGTGGTTGGATGAGCTGTTTCCTTTTTATGCTTATGTGCTTCGGTGGTTGAGGTTGGATGAGAAGCTATTGCTTCTTCGTGTCCTTCTGTGTGTGTGATTGGATGGGAAACTGTTACTTCCTCATGTTGTTCTGTGATTGCAGTTGGATGAGGAGCTGTGGCTTCCTCATGTTCTTCATGTTCTTCTGTGGTTATAATTGGATTAGGAACTGTTGCTTCTTCATGTTCTTCTGTGGTTGTAGTTGGATGAGGAGCTGTTGCTTCTTCATGTTCTTTATGTAATTCTTCTGGATGTTCTAGAACCGAAACGGTTGAACTACTTCTAGTTGGACTACTTGGTTCTTCGGCACTTTTACGCTTGAAGAATTTCAACTTTAAATTTTTGCTCATTTCTTATGTACCGATTTATAAACATCAATAGTATGGACTACTATTAATAAGTATGAAAACGACAAAAAAGATTCAACTATAAACAGTTAATAAATAATAATTGCCAAAGAAAATCAGTAATCAAAAAAGTACATCATAATTACGTATTGTATTAGATAATTATTTTCTCACGTTAGAGTTGGCGTATAAAGTAAATTCATATTTATGGATTAAATTTTGAATTTACTTCCTAGTTGAGAAGTTTATAATGTTCGATGGTATACACCATATAGATATTATCGTTACATCTCTTATCAGATTCTAAGATCAACCAATTAGAGGTGCAGACATTAAGAACATGAAATAATGTTTTGCCGACCAAAAATGTACCGGTACATCTTGTGACATTATCGTTATACATGTAAATACCAATTTTTTAGGCTTGAAAACAATTACGTAGATTGACTTATAATGCATACATATTGTGTGAAATTGGACGTATATATGTTCGGAAAAATTCTACGGTAATAGAGGTTATTGTTAAAGGTTAATTTAAGGTTCGGAGTAGAGTTAGGGCTAGAGCTGGAGTCAAGCTTATATGCAAATTGTCTTCCCGACATTTTTTTAGTGTACTAAGCTAGATTTAGGCATCTGTTTCTCGTATTTTTGCTTTTTTCATTTTCTTGTGTCGGAATTGTTTTTCCGGGCTGACCAAAAATTTACGATGGTATTTATTGTTCTTATCTGAGATGAATGATGTAATGTTGATGTGGAGATGATAGACGTGTTTCTAAATATTCGGGCTAATTACCGATAATAAATTCGGCATTACCCTTTTATTAATTAAATCACAACCAACGTAGATACATGTAATAGAAATTTATCGTTATGCGATCCTCTTGATATCACCTTCATACATCCAGTTATATGTTATATTCTGTATTATTTCAATCGTTTGCGCTAACACCTCCAAATCTCGCTCGGTTACAATTTTTCTGCGCTTCATTTTTCCGAATGATTCCTTGATACGAATCAAATCTTTCCTAATTTTATCTAAAAATTTCATGATACTCTTGGATTGCGGTTTGGATATCAAAACTCCTCTTATACCAGTCCTCAATTCCTCAAATTTTAGCTGAATTACCGAAATCTCAAAAACCTTATCCAGTTCCTCTCGATTCCTCTTAAAATAATCTTCTACTCTCGAAAACCCACCTTTTTCATCCGACTCTTCACCAGCCGCGTGGCTTTCGATTCTTGGTCGATATAGTTCCTCGAACTCATTCAACGCATTAAGAACATCTTTCGCGCGATCGCGGAAATCAGTGACGAGATTGAGAATTTTGCTCATTCGTGAAAAGGTCAATGATTTTTTGGCGGAATCGGGAAGTAAAAGGTCGTTGTTATCCAGCGTTTGGTAGATTATTGTAAACTCGTTTTCAATTTCTTTGAAAAGGAATTTGCCAACGATTTGCATTTTCTCGGTGTATATGCCAAGGATGAATAACAAGTTTCCAATGTGTTTGAGATATTGCGAGATTTCGGGAGAACTTAGGTTGATTAAGGATGATGGAGAACGTGTAATTATGTTGGCGAGAAAATTAGCGGGTACGCGTAAATTGGTGATGCCAGTTGATTCTGAGGACAATATGATACATTCGTAACATAAATATATAAAGAAAAAAACACTTAAATTATGCAACTTTTACCTTTAATGGATAGATTTGCAATCTGATTAACAAGCAAAACTGTTGAATTCCCTAAATCACGGAAAACTGGGTCGTCTACTGGCTATTAAAAAACGAAGAATTAAATATATTCCATAAAATAACGCAGAATGGACAATCGTACCGGCATCAACCGGTAAAACAGATCCTCAAAGGTAATCGTCAATTTTTCTAAATGTGAATAATTTTCCCACAGCGAACATAACTCTTCATGAAAATAATAAGCCGCTAATGAAATAAGAATTGCAAAGAAAAATCTACAAAATAATTTCTTTAGCTTTCAGAGTTCAATTATCAAAATAAATCATTTAATTCCTTAAATTCTTAAACAAACTTTTCAAGCATTGATGATTGTATTTATCAATTGAAAGGTGATAAGGACGGTTCTGAGAAGACCAAGACAACGACAAGGATTATTTGTCTGTTTTCTGTAATCATTTTTTTTTTTGTTGCCTATAAATAACAAACCAATTTCTAGTTTTGGTAAAGCTTGAGGCGTAACATAATAAAAGTATTGTCGAGAAAATTACGTCAGATCAATCATTATTACATGTATAAAAAGACTGCGATATTTAGGTGATCCTCACGAAAAAATCTGCAAACTTGCAATTTTTTTTAACTAAAATGCGTTCATTCTTATTTTCCCTTTATTCCAGCAAGGAACTTGCTCAAGTATCAGAAGAAACAAAAGATGAAGACGCGTCATTTCCTCAATATCCTAACGAACATAAAGTTCCACAGAATAAACTAGCCTACAAAGTTTTAAATTTTTTTCGGGAAATATTTTGTGTTTTGTTGCGAATGATATGGGCAATATTCGAGTTTTTTTTTAGTTACATTTGGGCAGTAATTAAGGCAATATTCCGTTTTTTATGGCAAGAATTTTGTGCACCAGTTGGATTTCTATTACGAGGATTTCATTTCTGGTGCATCAAAAATAAAGTAAGGCTCTCGTTCGTTATCGTGTTATTTCTATTAGGAACTGGATTTTATTTCGTAAGTTGAATATCTCTGCTTTTTGAGTGTCTATATGCTCAAACTTGCATATTAATCAAAGTCTAATAGGGCATAAAATATCAAGAAAGTATACAAGGAGCTGCCTTCAAGTATTTTGTAGGTACAACGAACTCGACGAATAAAAGTTTATTTGATCTAAACTTGCCAGGTATTTTTGTAAGATTTGATCCAATTCCTAATCATTCTCTAACATATTGAATCTTCAAAGAAACATCGGCGTTTTCTCGACATTTGGTCATATTGTACGAGCTTGTTGACGCTTTGAGACAAAGCCACGAGGTTCAACAAAATGGTGTTCTTATTTCCGACCGTCTTAATGGTTTAGTTGATGGCATTAACGTTGTTGAAGAAGATATAAGCGATTTTCGATATAAAGCATCAGAAGCCTTTAATACTTTACAGTCTGAAATGTCATTAATCTATGACGCATTAGAAGCTGAAAAATTATCGGACGACGAAAAATTATATACCTACGACATATTTATTCCCGAACTTTTCGTTGACAAATTTTATGAAATATTCGCGTATTGGGATAATGATCGAAATCTGTCAGGATTCATTAAACGGCAATTAAAATTTCTGGAATTCATAATTCGAGACTTCAAAGGCCACTTAAATAAAATGATTGACTCTTTGAGTAGGGTTAAACTGGATGCCAGGAATATGCTCTTTTATTTGATAGATGGCGAAAGAGAAGCTGAGAAGGCAGTTAGAAACTATCGGGTTAAAGCATTCATTGATTATGGCAAACTAACCGGGGCAGAAAATGAGTTGAGCCAAGTTCGCCAAGTGAAAAAATTCACCAAATCATTAGTTGCAAATTTGAATGAATTCGATCATTACTTGAGAGATTACAAACGCAAATTACTCGATGTAGAGACGGACGTAATTTATGCACGTGCTTTGAAAAAACCATCAAAAGTGTTGCTTAATTACTTGAAAACTTCCGCTAATCAATTCCAGAAAAAACATCGATTATTTGATAATCTCGAGAAAAAAATAGGCACTAGTCAGTCATCTACATTAGAACACGAAGAAATATATAAGATGAACGACAACGATACCAAATCGCAGACACTAACTCTTCAACCAGAAAATAACGAAAGTTTATCTCAGTATCCGATCTCGTATTAATTTATTATTTCTGGCAAGAACTTAAAACATCAATGGAGGAGCATTTAAGTGGACATTTCAAGTTCTCAACAAATTCGAAGATATAAGTTTAAGTTTACGTGATTTGTAGTTATTACTTTTATGTAGATTTGCGTCGCATGTTTATAATTAAAAACACATATTTTGCCATATATACGTACAAACAAAATTTTTGGTTTTCATAACCAGTCAGTTTTATGAAATTTAAATTTTTAGGCGCAGTCTAATATTTTATTGTAAAAATATAAAATAAATTATTTTTTTAGTCCGGCACTTACAATATCACATTCCTGGCGATAGGGTTTATAGATTAATACATGTACTTATGTAGTTTATACTTGTGTAGCTTTTCTGGACCACTCAACTAATATATATAATCTTTTCGAAGTTTATATTTATCAATTTCTAATAATCAATTTATTTTATTATCTATAATCATTATAATAATAAACTACATGTACTTAAGGATGTTAAAAAGCTCATGTGAGTCGGTTTTGGCTGAGTTGCTTTTGAGTCCGAGTTTAGGCTCGGAGGGACCGTCTTTCAATAGTCACATGATAGATCAGATGCTACCATATATACATATGCCAATTGTTTTTTTTTTCAAAAACGAATTAAATGATGCTTCGTAATGAACGCGAACAAAGCATATACAAAACGATCATTACCAAAACGGTTCAACAAAAATCTGGATAAATTAGGTAAGATTATTTAGTTTATTATATCATTGTCAAGACGAAATCTCTGGAAAAAAATGGTTAGTATTAATAAAGCAGTTGTGTTAAGAATTTGAACTATAAAAGTATCCTACCTTTTTTTCCTGTTTCTTTGTGTCAAAATATCTAATTTCAGCTCGTCAATTCTCACATCTTCCGCAAATTCACCAGTTTTTGTATTTTTACAATTCCAAATTCATTTGCTAGTCTTTTAGCTAAGACCTCTTTGAAAATGTTCCAAGTTCTGTCAAAAGCAACAATAATCTTGGAGAAGAATCTCAAAATAATGTAATCATTAGTAATATAATTCACAATAAAAATCAATTAAAAAATAAATATAAACCTGCTCCTGTTTATAATTATCTTGATATACTTGAAGATAATTTTTGCAATTGCAAGCTTTGTAGTAATAAATAGAGAGTTATTATTAATGATGGTATTTTGAAAATAAATACCAAAATATTTTTAAAGATATTTGATGAGCCACTATGAAATTTGCTTGTATTTAGTAATTGAAAAGATTGAAAAAAAATCATGTAGTTTTTAAATAAAAACTTATATAAATGGATTATTACTAGTCAATAGTTTTTTTCTGTAATTGAAAAAGCTCACTTTATTAATTACTTGCTAATTTTAATTTATATTACAAAGTTATTTGTTATTAAATACTTTCTGTAAATATCAAAAAGCAATGGAAATAATATAATTATGTTATTTTCACTTAATTTAAGTTATAACACTCAGATATGACGTGTAGACTGCAAAACTCAAGTTATTTGAGTGAAAGATAGTTCACAAAACTCAAGTCACTCGAGTAATGGGTGGATTATAAAACTCAAGTCATTCGAGTGATGGGTGGATTATAAAACTCAAGTCATTTAAGATAACTTGTATATTCTTTAGAAAGTTAAATTTGATATTAATAATATTTTAATTACTTATATAAATTTTCATATATCAGTTTAGTATTTATGATCAATTTTAATTATAAAGAAATATTTGAATTAGATTATGATACCTTAACCTAATTCTTTAGCATTTTTTATTATAACTCAAATTTGATAATATTACTTATATGCTGTTTTGATCGTAACAGATTTCTGTTATTAGGTCAAATAATTAAAAGTCAGGTTGATTTTATCACAAGTATGATGATCTAATTGCAATTTGCATATTATTTCTAGAGACAAATAGCCAAAGTATATGCTATCTAGTTTATTATATATATACTATATACATGCTATCTGATTATATTATCAATTAATATTATCAAATATGTATGCATATAAATGCTATTGATAATGCTATTGTGTATATGCTATCAGATTATTATTACACATTTTTTCACTAATTGAATAATTAACTAATAAATGTGAACAAGGATTGAGAGAAAAAATTAAACAAATATAAGAATAATATGAAAATAATATCTAAGTTCTATACCAATTTCTACTGAAATTGTTATAGTTTG